GCTTTTGGTACGGTGTGTATCACGAGAGGCTCGTTCTCTCCGGTCCTGTCTCTTACTCCCGCCGCCCGTCCCCCGGGGCCAGGGCTCCAGCAGTGGCAAGAGGCAAGGAAACCCTCTTTTCTCGACTCCTGGCGGTGAGGCGGAGGCCAGCTAAAAGCGGAAGTGCTGCCTCGAAGCCTAGACAGACAGGCCAGCCAGCGCCGCTCCTTAGAGCGCCGCGCAGCCGCCTCGCGCCCAGAGAGAAAGAACCCGGGGAAGCGCGCGCGCCCTGTGAGAGGCGGGCGGGCGGGCGCCGCAGGCGGGCAGGCAGCCCGGTTCCTTAGCTGGGGCGGGGCCTGCGCTGGAGCGAAAGCTGGGTGACCTTTGCCTCGCCGCGGGGAAAAAGCGACACGGCGAAAGAGAGAGAGAGAGTCTCTGATCCCCGAAGGCGGGCTTGGGTGGATGCGGTGGCTCTCAAAGGAGAGACTGAAACACGGGGCCTCAGCAGCCGGAGCACATATTGTGCCCTGGGCGGCAAAAGGCAGCCCATCCGAGGAGGTAATGCAGCAAGGAGAAAAGAAATGTTCCATCGACGTTACTTACCGAGGAGTAACTGAATGGTAATTTGGAATTCTAAAGGCGTTTCATTATTTCAGGCAGTATTTTGCATCTGGTTCTCCAGTGTATATATGTAGACACACAAATCAAAACGCTGGCACGCGCACGCACACACACACATGCCATAACCTGAATGACCAACCCAGTCGACTTCCTGTTCAGTTTTAATTTGATTTGTGTGTGTACCAACACTCAAGAACCAGGAGATGCAAAATGTAGATAAACAAAGAAATATAGTTATTGAACCACTGGGGAAGAAAACAAGGTAGCTTCCCACCCTATACAGTGGTGCCTCGCATTATGACGTTAACCCGTTCCAGCGAAATTGCTGTAGAACGAAAGCATCGTAATGCGAAAAGAAAAAAACCATTGAAATGCATTAAAACCCATTTAATGCGTTCCAAAGGGCTTGAAACTCACTGTCCAGCGAAGATCCTCCATAGGGCGGCCATTTTCGGTGCCTGTAATGCGAGGAATCTGTCCCAGAAAACAGTGGGGGCATTTTGTTTACCCAGCGTCCATTTTGAAACCGCCGATCAGCTGTTGGAAAATCATTGTTTTGCGAAGAATCGGTTCCCGAAGCAGGGAACCGATCATCACAAAGTGAAATTGCCCCATAGGAAACATTGTTTTGCGATCGCAAAAACTTCATCATAATGAGAATTTGCCGTTAAACGGGGCAATCGTCCAGCGAAGCACCACTGTATAGCTTTTCATCAGGCTGGACACAACAGAGCTAAGGGAAGTGCAAAAAAAAATTGCCTTTAGATGTTATGCATGGGCTTGTTATGGACTGAAAAGTCGCCTCCAATTTGTGGTGACCCTATGAATGGCTGGTCTCTAAAGGGTCCTGTCCTCAACAGCTCTGCTCAGTTCTTGTAAACTCAAGATTGTGTCTTCTTTTAGGAAGTCAGTCCATCTCATATTTGGCCTTCTGCCTTTCCTACCATTATTATCTTTTCCAGAGAACCTTGCCTTCTCGTACGACAGCCTCAGTTTTATAATTTTTGCCTCCAGAGGTAGTTTGTGATCTTCCTGGCAGTCCAGAATATTTGCAAAGCCCTCCTCCTGCACTGATTGAAAAAGAACTGAAAAGCCAGGAGAAAGATCTACCAGTAGAAGAGGTTGTTTTGGAGAGAAAGGAAGAAAGTATAAAGGGGGAAATGTTAAGGCAAAGAGGGCAGTTAAAACCTGAGGTAGAAGAAGAAAGTTGCTCTGGTGTAGAAGTATAGAATAGGAACGAAGAAGGCTGGCTCGAGATATTAAAAGAAGACCCATACACAGGCAAGGGGTTAACTCTCAAGGTCCCAAGAAAGGAAGCAGAGAGAGAATGGAGGAGAGAGATGTATAGGAAGCCTCCCTATTGGGGACAGACATAGGATTGAGAGAGAGAGAGAGGAAAAAAAGAAAAGAACGAGAGGGAGAGGTTTGAGAGGGAGCCCCAGAATAGAGAAAATTGGCCATGTCTTGAGTCCTGTGGGAGCTCTCCTGGGAAGAGTCCCTTCTGGCCCAGTATCAGATGACCTCCAGGCAAGAAGGTGTAGAAGCCCTTTGCAGGATGGGTATACTACCCATACGAATCTTGAGGGGTAAGGATGAAGAAAGTAGATTTAACCCATCGAGATGGGAAGCAGTTATAGTTCTACACCTCAACCGTTGATGGAGGACCTGTTAGCTTTAGAGGAGACAAGTTTTAAAAGAAAACTTTTGACAAAGAGTAGAGATGAATGTTAAAGTGGAAGCACTGGATTTTTTGACAAAAGAAAAGAAGTAGAAGTAATTTGGGTTAAAGAAGTAGCGGCGTCATCTGTAACTGGAGGTCTGAAGGAAGAGGTGGGTGACCAGGCCCAGAGTCACAATAGGCCTTCTGTATCCTGTTCCCACCTTCTCTTAATTTTCTCCTGGTCAGGTAGTGTGCTGCCCTCTGGGTGCCTTGTTTTGATCTGTATGATCAGTTTTCTCTGGGATGTTTGCATAAAGGCGTTCAGTTTCATTTATTCAGCATTAGTAGTTGGAGCATAGTTGGATGATAGTTATGTTGATAGGTTTTTCGTGGAATCTTGCACTATAGCCTCTAA